TAACGTATATATCAAAAGTGGTTTTAATTTCTTGAGGTGTAATTTTTACTATAGTGAACAAAGTAACTTTGTGGACTACTAAATGACAACTTTATGAATAATTGGCAAAATGCAGAGCTGTTTTTTATTGTTTTAACACTGATGTGGTTCTCACCAATAGCAGGTTTTGCTTTGTCTTTTTTCTCAGTTCTACATTTTGTACATTGACTATGGAAATACAGAGATTGTCAGTCGGTCTGATTTAGTTGAACTCCCAAAAGAACTGCAAACAACGGGACTTGCAAAAAAGTACAAGTTCTGGGGCTTTCATGTGTCAGTCGAGCAGGATTCCCCGTTTTTTTCACAGGTATCTGACAAAACTGGACCGTTCGCCTATGAATGTGATTTTAAATGCATCTGATATTTGTTTACCATTAAATGTTTTGCTTTACTCTCATACAACTGTGTTGTCACTAGGGGAAGTCCTTTCTTCAGAATATGATTCATGGAAAAAAGTTGCGTGTCCATAAAAAGTCGGTTTGCTTTGATGGAACCATCCTGGTTGAAGCCTTCCAGGGGAATCTTGACATTGGTGAGGAACTGTTGAAATTCAAGTTCGACAAAGTCAGTCTTCCAGGAAACAGGGAGAACTCCCTTCCCTCAGTAAACCTGCAGGAGCGCACAGGACTGTGGCCCACCAGAAATGCCCCAGGAGAGTTGGACACACTTGGCTCTCCACTGGGATGCATGCCCAAATTGTGACCAATATTCTCAGACCAGAAACCTCAAATTAAGTAAGTTTTGAGACACACAGACAATAATATAGAGTTACCTCTCTTTGTGAAAGTGCTTAAAGGGATAGTCGACTCAAATATGAAAATTGTCATCGTTTACTTACCCTCATGTTGTTCCAAACCTGTATGCATTTTGTGCAATGTAAAGTCAATGGGTTCAAAATATCTTAGGTGTGTGTGTATTCTACAAAAAAAAAAAAAAACAGGTTTGGAGCAACATGAAGGTGAGTAAATTATGACAGAATTTCCATTTTTGGGTGAAATATCCCTTAAAGGATAACAATTATATTCACTTTAATCATGGCAGTGGAATATAAATATCCAAATGATCTTCATGAAGATCTCTTGATGAATGTTCTGATTTATGAATCCATGTTTTTCCACGGTTTAGGGAGCAGAAAACCACCATTGCTCTCCAGCCTGTGGAGAAACTGAATGCTGGTCCGGAACCTCTTACTGAGATCAAGGCCTCAAAGACTGATGTAAATGGACAGCAGTTGTGCTCTCAGGATACTGAGCAGGTGCCAAATGAAACCGAGTCTGAACTACAGGTGGCAATTTCTCATTCTCAGATATTTTACCATTGAATTGCATTTCTCACAACATTCAAATCTTTGCATTATAAATCAGTGGTTCTCAACTGTTAGCTCACTTCTGATAGGGTTGTGGACACTGTTACCACCCAATTGACACATTTCCCACCTAATATTCAGAGGGATTTAGATCCTGTCGGCATTCGGAAAGGAAAGGAATATACCCCTATCTTTTGTTATTAATGTCAAAGGGTGTGCATACAATTTAGAAAACAAACACTGTAGATAGACAAGTCAACAAATTGAACAAGTATATAAATTATTCAAATTTTTTGAAAATGCACAATATTATTTACTTTTTATAATTTTTGATGAAATAAATGCAGTCTTTGTAAGCATAAAAGACTTCTCTAAAACATAAAAAATTGTAGTGTGCATACTTAATTCTCATGCTGCCGCATGTAGGAAATCACACTTGATTATATCATGAACCTCCACAATGTGAAAACCCTTGTAACATGTGAGAACATGCCTAAGATAATCTGTGACCGCTGTGCTGTTTTGCGTACCCAGAGGATGAGAGAGGTGATAAATGACAAGGACATGGAGATCAAGAAACTAAAAGAAGAAGGAAGTGCCATCCAGCAGCATGCATCACTCCTGGGGCTGCAGCTTGAGGAGGCCAAATTAGAGCTTCAGGTGCCCTGAGCTGTTGCACACATTGGGGTGTTGATTGTTCAGTGTGTTTTAGGCCATGACATCCACCTTATTTTATTAACTTACAAAAATGCGCACCCGTCTTGAATGTCCGAGGCTTCCAGTTTCATCCGTTTCCATTTATTTTTTCGCCGTACAAAACAGCTCGTTATGCTGCTTGATATTGCAAAGTGATGTTTCTTATCGTATAATATTTATGTATTATTGTAACTAGTAACACACTGGTTTGTAGTGCAAATAGTTCTACGGTTTACTGCACTTTGTTGTTCTTCTTCTAGTTATTAACCTATAGAGAAGTCTCACACATTCACAGATAATAGCTTTGTTCCGCAATGCAATATGTGGATAAACATTTGTTCTTTGCAGACACTGAAGGAGAGTTATGAGAAGACAAAGGAGACTGAACATAATCATCCTACAACTGCAAAAAGAATATCCCAACTGGCTAAGAAAGTGGATTCTTTGAGGAAACCGAGGCGAATTCTTTTTTTCTTTTTCCAAATATGTATACTTGCTTCTACTTCTGACTTGATTTAGACAATGTTTCTGACGTAAAATGATCGATTTGAACCTCAGGGAGAGTAATCTGTGCTCCACTGATGAAGATCACCTTTTAGAGTCCATCACCATCATCATGAACCACAGGATCTCAATGCCGTTGTGTTCAGAGAGGCTGGAGCTTGCGTGGAAAGCTTATGATCAAACCTTGGAGAATCTAAGAGGCTGTCAAACCGTGAGTACAATTTACATTCTTCTGATCGATGAATGAATGGAATAAGTTTACATACAGATGAATGTCATCTCTGTGGTCACAGTCATCTCAACTGTATTACAGTTCTACATTCCCTGCTGTTTTCTGTTGACTGTGGCTTTGCTTATAAGATTTCTTGTGTGTGTTCTGTCAGATGGCGGAAGTAGAATCACTGGTGAACAGCAGGAATGAGGCCCGTGGTGCTCTCTTATCTGCTGTAGACGACTTCCTGCAGGAGGTGGACAAGCTGCCAATCGGTGACCGCTTGGACAAGTTGAAGGTATGTAGTAAAGGAAGATACAAATGAGAATTATTTTAGTATTATTAATATACTGTTACAGTATTTTTGTATTTTCAGCCTTGTTTTAATTTAAGTTTAAGTAATTATGTTGTTATTTAGTCATTTATATATAGGTTTTTTAGCTGTATTTTTATTTGAGTTTTAGTAATTTAAGTATTGAAACTTTTTCAGTTTAAGATAAGTTTACATTTTCCATTTAATATTTTTATGTATTATTTTAGTTTTATTTCAATTTACAGTTGTTTTTTAGTTAACAACACTTATACAAACACGCATATCACTTTCTGAATTTCTCACAGAGATCGTTTTGTGCTGAATTTAGTCAGATTAGGCCTCTGTAAAGTATCAGATACTTCTTGAATCAGCCTGTCAGAGACTGTGCTCAGTTCTGGACTCTCTTGTATTTTCTAACTAATAGAGTTGTGAAAAGCCCATAAATAAAAAAAAAAACAAATACATAGTATGTGAAGATACACCTGGCAGCTTTTCATTACTGCATTTGGAACTGTGTCGTCTGCATATATAGGAAGTTGCATCCTCACTGACTGCAATATTTAGCTCTCTTACGCTGGCGGAGCAGACCGAAGAGTGCTTTTTTGAGAAGTTCTGCGAGTGGAAGGGGCACAAACAACAGAAAACCAAAAATGTGCAAAAAACTACAGATGAAGCTCTCCTTGCTCTTAGCTGCTGGGCAGCCAAGCTTAGCAAGGTACGTTTGCTATTGTAAACTTGATCAAATTCATGTCTCCTTTTGTTGGTAGGTAACTATTTGGCTTTTAATTTAAATGGACAGACATGGTTTATAATATCAAGAGACTTTATTTACTGCTGTATAAGATGAAGCCTTTGTTTCAGTTTTCATGTTTGATGGAGAAAACGTCATTGACCGGAGAAGATGTTGCTGAAGGTGTGGATGAGATCCTGATGAATGCGGACAATGCCTTGTGTGAAGAACTCAATACTGAATTCTCTGTAAGTGTTTCTGTCCTGATCTACACATTTTTCTACACTATGTCTGCATTTCAGTGTGCGTTCTCTCTTCTGAGCAAGGGCACAAACCCCCCAGGTCTTCTTCAGAGGGACTTTACTCAGTGCCATTTTTTGGGTAAAACAAAGCACACAATTATTGAATGGAAAAAAATTTATTTGAAATGTTTTGTAACATCATAAATTAGTTTATTGTCAGCTTTGACCAATTTATACATACTTGCTGAATAGAAGTAATCATTTCTTTTTAAAAATAAAATATAATCTCACTCTCCCCAAGCTTTTTAACTGTAGTGTATACAATGCATGATTATTTTCATTATCAATTTTGTTTATTACTTTAATTCAATTCAAGTGTATTTGTATAGCTCTTTTCATGATGCAAATCGTTGCAAAGCAGCTTTACAGAAAATTAAAGATTCTACATTATATTTAGTAATAGCTGATCAGTGGTGATCTCAAGTTGATGTCCATTATAGCATGGTTTGGTAGTTTTGTATGTTGTCTGAGGGTTGGCATCATCTGAGGTCCTCTGGGGGGTTGGCATCATCTCTTCTCAAGTGTTCAGTCATCTCAGGTCTTTGTAAGGGCTGGATCCAGACTGAAGCTTGTGTAATTCCTAGTTACCTCGGGATGCCAATCCCGTGGCAGAAACGGAGAAGGTAATAGAGAAAAATTAGTGTAGCTGCTGTTCCAACTAAGCAAAAAATTGTGTTCAACCCAAGCAAAAGAATGAAATTTGTGCATTTGATCAGATGTAACTGAAGTACAAGGTTATGAGATACAATATGTGAATGCTTTGCTAAAGAGATGTGTCTTGAATCTAGATTTAAACAGATTCAAACTTTAACAGCCATCATTTTTTTTAACTGCAGTTTAAGCAGGAAATCCAGCAGTGGCAGAGCGGCCCTCCTAAAGTGGACGAGCTGTTTGCAGTGAAGAAGCGCATCAGGAGCCTGAGATCTCAGCTGCGCTGGAAACTGGTGGAAGTCAGCTGTCTGGAGGAGGTGAGAACAGCCCTACCTAATGTGCTCTGAGAAACCGCATGATGGGGCCGCAGTGCTGGGAGCTCAGATGGACAGGGTCAAAATATTGATTTATTGGTTTGATTTGTTTATTAATTATTGTATGCAGCACTAGTTATGCGTATCTGTTTATTGATTAACTTTGCCTGCTGTGTAGCTGGGATAGCTGGTTGCGTTCACTGGAAATGGTCAGTTTATCAGTTTGAGTTTCCCGCAGGCAGAAGAACTGGACCTGCCAGAGATTCTTAAGAAGAAGGAGGAGATCGCCGAGACGAGAAATGCTCTCTTTCAAGAAATCCGCCATGAGAAGAAGCAATATGTATGTTTGGATGTGTATAAAGATCTTTCATATTCTTAGATACTGGGCTTAGATTCTAGCACAGCCACAGTTAAGAATGGCAGTACAATACATTATTTATCTATGCAGGAGGTATGTACTATATATAATAATGTGTTTATTTATACCATAGAACAGTGGTTTGCAATGGGATAGAAAGGTCAATGCTGAATTGTGTTAAAATGTATAATTAAAAAATGAATGCGCATTAGTTTTGTGAATTTGTTTTGTTGAAGGTTAAATTACTTAACATTTGTGACCCTGGACCACAAAACCAGTCATAAGGGTCAAGATTTATACATCAGCAGAAAGCTGAATAAATACGCTTTCCATTGATGTATGGTTTGTTAGGATACTATTTGAAAATCTGGAATCTGAGAATGCAAAAAAATCAAAATATTGAGAAAATCGCCTTTAAAGCAATGCATGTTACTAATCAAAAATTAAACTTTGAGATGTTTACAGTAGGAAATGTACAAAATATCTTCATGGAACATGATCGTTACTTAATATCCTAATGATTTTTGGCATAAAAGAAAAATTGATCATTTCGACTATTGTAGCTATTGCTACAAATATACCTGTGTGACTTATGACTAGTTTTGTGGTCCAGGGTCACATTTAATAAGTTTCAACTGACAAAACATTCTGAAATGTCCATTATATGTTGATGTGCAGATAGTGCTGTGTGACCTCATGAACAGAGGCTTTCCTGAGTTGCCATTGATCTATCCTGATGCAGATATCAATGGCTATATGGTGAGTACTTGTTTTGTCACTACCTACAAGCCTCTAAGTTTTCTCTTAAAAAATGTACAATGTTTCATTTAGCATGGTTTGATGTAAAGGAATTATACCAAATGACTAGAATAGCACAGTATGATGTAAACTTTTCTTTTTGGGAATATTCACTGACTACAGAAAAGGTATGTGTGTTTATGATCTGTGAGCATTGAAACAGAGTGATATGCATATATGTGCTTTCAGAGCTCTGCAGGACTGTTAATGAAGAGCTTGGACAGAGACATGTTTGACGCAGAGCCGATGAAAGAGCTGAGTGGCAGGAGACCTCTTCTTAGCACAGACTTCCAGGGACAGAAAGTAGTCCTGAAGGTCGGTTATAGTCCAGAATATTTATTTGCTTTGCTTTAGTCAACGTACAGTGAGAATATATGTACACTACAAGCCATGTGAGGACACACATACTCATTATTTATTTTTATATTCCAAATTTCTAAAACAAAGAAAAAGGAAGGAAGAAATTGAATATAAAACATATACATGACCATTCAAAGGTTTGGGTTGGTAAAACCTTGTTTTCTTAAGGTTACAAAGGCTGCATTTATTTGACAGAATACACTAATATTGTTACATTTTATTGCCATTTAAAATATCTGCGATGTGAAAGCTGAATTTTCATCCAGGTTTCATTGTCACATGATCATTCAGAAAGCATTGCATAGGCTAATTTAGTACTAGATTCTATTTTAACAGTTTTTGCTGCTTAATATTTTGTGGAAACCGCGATACATTTTTTTCCAGGATATATTGTTAGATATTGTATATCTTGTTGCTGTACATTGCTGAATGTTTCTAAAAGAGTTGAGGGTTTTTTGCAGTGCTATGCTGTGGATGAAGAGTCCGAGGCGAAGATGACTGAACAATCTGCCTACTATCACAGAGCTCAGCAGCAGAATCCCGCCACAACTGTTCCTCTCCTGGCGCTGTTTTGCGGCAAAGTTCTCTTTCATCCTTTACTATACTAGATTCTCACTACCTATTTTACTGATGTTACAGGCTCTGTACCAGTGCATGCTTAAAATGTCTTCTGTTTTCTCCAGTCTGATCCACTGGCATACATCATGGTACCACACTACTCTAATGGAAATCTCAAGGCCATTCAGAAATCCTCCCCACTGTCCTCTTCTGTAAGTGCAAATGTATTTGTCTGCACTGTAGACAAGTGGTGAAGTTTGTCAGATTGACGTAAAATTCTTGAAAAGCATGTTTTATTTTTTACTTAGACAAAAAAGTATAGATTTTATTATCAAGCATTAATAGCCATAACAGCCAGATTTTTAATTTTGGCGCTTCCCTGTACGGTTTGCAACCTTTTTTTAACGCATTAAGGTATTTTTTTTGTCCTCTGGTTTGTTGTTGCCACATAGGAGATTAGGAAGGTGATGAAGGGCGTATCTCTGGGACTCCAGAATCTTCATGCAGCATTTCTTACTCATGCATCTCTGCATCCAAACAATGTGTTTGCCATTGGCCGAGAAAAAGGCATTGTTGGAGATTATGATTTCACAAAGACACCTGTAAGTGTAAAAAACAAACAAACAAAAAACCAGCAAATTCCGTTAAGTTATGGATTCATGTACTTTTTGGGCAGAAAAAAATAAATGTAAGCAGACCTGGTTTTGATTATGAAATTTTAGAAATGAGTTTTTATATGATTATTTGTTTCTTATAGGAGCAGAGGGTGTCTGACAGCGGGATGGTGGCTGGTTCCATACGTCTGGTGGCTCCAGAGTTGAAGCAGGGTCAGCTGCCTTCCCCAGCCAGCGATATGTATGCCTTTGGAGGCATCATGCTCTGGGTAGAACTGCTGCTTGCTTGCTTACACTACCATTTAAAAGTCTGGAATAATATATATATATATATATATATATATATATGTGTGTGTTGTGTGTGTGTGTGTATATATATATATATATGCATGTGTGTGTGTGTATGTGGGTCAAAGACGTTAAAGGGGTCATATGATGCGATTTCAAGTTTTCCTTTCTCTTTGGAGTGTTACAAG